CTCATTTTATCTATAACAATTTCCCGGAGCAATTCTTCGCCTCCAAAAACATCTGTTCTACTCCATCTTATTTCGGTTACTTCTGCAACCACCCTCATTCTTTCCTACAACCTCCCTCATTCTTACTTACAACCTCTATCTTACCTACAACCTCCTTCTGCCGTACCTAAAAGCTCACTGCGCCTTGCCAACAACCTCTCACGGTCTAACCTACAACCTATCTTCTTACCTACATCCTCCAACCGTCATACCTATAACCTTATTCTGTCATACCTACAATCTCCGTCAGTATTATCTTCAACTATCTTCTGTGTTACCAACAGCCTCCCTCTCTAAACTTGAACCCCTTCGTATTATCTACAACCTCTCACTGTCTTACCTAATAGCTTCCTCTGTGTGACCCACAACATCCCTATCACAACTGTTATTCTTCAGGATCTGCTTTTTCTCAAATCTTTTCAACTCGAACATCTCTCCAACCCTTTTCAGTGAAGAAATCAACACCTTCCCTCCATCCTCTTCATCCGTTTCTGCGATTCCTTCTCCCTCACGGCTGGTCCACCTGGGTAAGTGTGGCCGAGGTTCCTGTCAGGCTCACGACCCTAAATTGTTCCACCAACCTCCCAGAAATCACTGATTTTTTTCCCTTCTTCTCAATGGAATTGGTAGGGTTATTGTTTCGTTAAGGGATCCCAATTTTGTGGCAATGTTGTCCCATATGATCTCTGTCTCTCTCTCTCTCTCTCTCTCTCTCTCTCTCTCTCTCTCTCTCTCTCTCTCTCTCTCTCTCTCTCTCTCTCTCTCTCTCTCTCTCTCTCTATGTCAGCATTTAAAACTCCTTTCTACCCTTTCTTTTCCATCAGAAAAAAAACAGAAAATAATCCAAGGTAAAGAAATAGTTTTGCCACTGGGTTCTCTTCGACAGAATGCTTTTCAAAATGGGATTAACGAACCGAGCCTTCACCACTGGTCGAGATTTCTGAAGCTGCCTCTGGCGGGTCTTTTCGGAGCTGCAGGTTAACCTGTGTTTTGTGTCTTGCTTTCGCCGAGTTGGTTCGTTTCTTCGACAGGTTATGTCAGGTGAGTTTGGTTTCCTGCAGGATGTTCCAGGTGTATTTGGTCTCCTGTAGGATGTCCCAGGTGTGTTTGGTCTCCTACAGGATGTCCCAGGTGTATTTGGTCTCCTGTAGGATGTCTCAGGGGTGTTTGGTCTCCTACAGGCTGTCTCAGGTGTGTTTGGTCTCCTACAGGCTGTCCCAGGTGTGTTTGGTCTCCTACAGGCTGTCCCAGGTGTGTTTGGTCTCCTGTAGGATGTCTCAGGTGTGTTTGGTCTCCTGTAGGATGTCCCAGGTGTGTTTGATCTCTTACAGGTTGTCCCAGGTGTGTTTGGTCTCCTCTAGGATGTCCCAGGTGTGTTTGGTCTCCTCTAGGATGTCCCAGGTGTGTTTGGTCTCCTACAGGCTGTCCCAGGTGTGTTTGGTCTCCTGTAGGATGTCTCAGGTGAGTTTGGTCTCCTACAACCTGTCCCCAAATGTGTTTGATCTCCAATAAGCTTTCACAATTGTGTATTTGGTCGCCTACTTGCGTTTGAGGGAGAAGAAGAGGAGGTTCACTCCATATTTGGAATTAGATACTCTCTGGATTTGAGTAAATAAATAAACTTGAGTGTGGATTTTAAATAATATCACTGTTATTTAACGTAAGGTGGAGATGAAGGTGTGCAAGAAAACCACACACATGTCCAGGCTAGTAAACACAAACACGCACACACACACACACACACACACACACACACACACACACACACACACACACACACACAAATAAAACACACACATAAACAAAAACACACACACATAGACAAAAACACACATAGACAAAAACACACACTCACATAGACTCACAGACACAAACCACAAACAACCAGACACACACACACACACACACACACACACACACACACACACACACACACACACACACACACACACACACACACACACACACACACACACATATAATCACTAAAACGCTCACATACAAATATTCATAGATACAGACATTCAGACCAAGCATTAAAGTACACAACTCAGAAGTTGTGCAGTGACAAGCACTATGCTAAGAACGCTTTCAATCTCCGATGATTGTATATGCTTAAATTTATGTATCTGAATTGTAGTGTACACCAGAGAACAAATCCTGGAGCATGATAACACAAATGTATCGCGCTATTCAGAACTGTTCAGCACAGAATACATAGGTTTAAGCTTGAAAGCCTTTGTCTAATGACTGAGATCCTAGACTCGTGACATTATAAAGAAGGGTACATGCAATCGATCAATAATATAATCATCAATTAAAGAGCAACTCTTGTATTCAATATCTGCTACGATCCGGTAATAAAGTCAAGGTTAGTTGACAGAAATGTCTGGATATACCATGACAAAGGAGAACACCAGGAGAGATCAATACCAGTGGCTCTCCTCTCACCACAACTGACGGAGGGTAAAGTTGGTGAGGAACAGTAAACTTTGGAGGGTCCCAAGAGGGCGTGACTTCTGAGAAATGTGTGCGGGTGTTTTCCTTAACTTCTGCCAACTATTTCTCTCCCTCTCCTCTTTTCTGGCTCTTACCTCCCGACCACCTCGGTGGGACATGTAGGATTTGCAGACTTATAGTTGATAAAATGTCTCAGAAATGCGATCTCCTCCTCCTCGGCTGTGTTTAAAGACTTCGTTCATTCGCCTCTCCCCAATACCCCCCTCCTGAAAAAAGTATATTCATCGTTGTCTTCGTATCTAAATAGTTATTTTTCTCCATTATTAAATTTTTACTTCTTTATCATAAATACTTTCCCAAAAAAACAGGTTATCCAAATCCCTCTTCCACTGAAAAAAACGTCATTTCATCCTCTCTAAATTCTGAAAATAGGTGAGTTCCCGCCTCTCTCGCTGAGTTTCCTCGCTGAAAGAATATCTCCAAATTTTTATAAAATGAAAAAAAATACGTTGTGATATATAATGTTCACGCTCGTGTTGAAATGATGCATTCCTACTGTTCTTTCCCGAAAAAGGAATATTTTCAGTGGTCTTTCGCTAAAAATAGGCCGTTCTTATCGCCCTCTCGCTAGTATAACGTCGTATGTCTAGTTAAAAGAGAAAAAGAAAATGCACCTAACGTTCTGATAAAAAGACACTTTTTTACCAAAATGGCCACATGTTAACTCTGGTTCTGTCTGGTGCTGTTATCAGCAACACCACGATAACTTAAGTCTGGTTCAAGTGCTGTTATCAGCAACATCCAGATGACTTAAGTCTGGTTCTAGTGCTTTATCACCAACAAACGAAACACAACAAAATTGTATAAAACACGGTGACTGATTATCCAGGAAATCGAAAATCTTTTGTTTAACTCACTTAACATATTTCACAAACTTTCAGTTAGATTTCCGGAGAACTCTTCCTTTGAGTTTCAAGGAAAGTTTGGTTGTAAATTTTTTAGTCTTGGAAAGTTATAATACGATTACACGGGCAAAATCTATCTATGGCAGAGCTTAATTTTTTAGCGTAAAAAGGGTACTGAATTGATATTTTTTGTTGTGTGGGGAAATTGATTTCAAATAAAAATGTTACTGATTTCTTAAACTTTAAAAAGATGTAATAAGACAGTGTATAACTGATTATGTATATCATGTGCGTTTGTTAATGAAGAACATGAGCCTCAGCTTTTGGTAATCTGCTCTCTTCCTTCAGTCGACTGATTACAGTTTCCTTAACATTTTGTGATCTCTACATATGAAACTGTATATAGAAGGAGATTGCTTAAGTTTCATCACTTGTAGCGTGTCCTAATTTCTCTGGCAATTTAAAAAGTACATGTAATGTCTCTGTTACTCATTCTGGTACATAGTTCTAACCTGTAACTCAGTGGTAATATACCACTCAGTCATTAAGGCTGTCATTGTCTGCTCGGTGAACTGTTTATTTGGAGACTGTTATCAATTCACGTAACTTATTTGTTAAACAAATCATATATTTTAAAAAATACGAAGTTGGTAACGATAAAAAAAATTTGGATTATATAGGACTTCTAAGTGATATTCAGGACCAGGAGCTGGATTATGAAGACGGGGTGAAGGAACAGTACTAATCCACTTGGTAAATCGAGAATCGAACGCCGACCTGCAAGAGGCGAGGTCTGCGCTCTACCGAAACGTTCAAGTGGATGGACAGAGATGTTGTTAATATTACCTCCAGTTCCACTTGAAAACAAAACTTCAAACACAGATTATTCATTTCACCAAATTTGGATTATTAATCAATTGTAAAAAAACATATTTTAAACATATAGGTAAATATTTTTAAATTTGTTAAATAGAGAGAGAGAGAGAGAGAGAGAGAGAGAGAGAGAGAGAGAGAAACCTTGCCAAAGGTTGAGAGAAGATGCGTGAGGGAGCTGTGTGAGGGAGTAGCACAGGAACCAATATTTTGATACTTGGAGCAGACTGGAAAGTTCAAAGTAACATCCGCCAAACACACACCGAAACTATGACGTTGGTACAACGTTCGAACAAGTTTTACCACCTCCTAACCAGTTATAACAACCAATCTAGCAAGTTGTAACAACGTTTTAATACGTCATAAACACGTTAAGCCAAGATGTAACAACTTTATTTCAAGTTGTAACAAGCGGAAAATAAGAGACAGTTTCGGTTTGTGTTTCCAGGGATTGCTCTACTGACCAACACGAAATAATTAGTATTCCAGTTGTCAGTCCTAAGGCAGAGTGTTTTAACACTGCTCTCAATGAATCTTCGAACTGAGAAACAATTAGCGAGAAATCAGTACTGTGGTCCAATATGGACGGTGCAGTTACTAATATATAAATAATTTGTCAATCTCACATGTAAAATGTATATGTCTTTCTTCTGTTCTGCACATCTCATAGCTATCAGTTATTTCTACGTAGTATCTGTTCATTGCAGTTATGTCTTATCTCACAGCGGTATCTCCTTCAAGCGTGCTCTGTTATTTGTGGGATCTTCAGGTGTCTTCTGGCGATATAAATCTGTTATCTCCATGAAGCTCTAATATGTGGCACCTCTATAGTTTTTGCATTCATATTTTTCAGGGATATGTATATCTGTTTTATCTTTTGTATAACTATATTTGATCTTAAACTGGCATGACATGATACAATGTTATTTGATAAACATTTAACTTAGCTGTTATTTCACAACAGTAACTTTCAGGAGGCATCTGACTTTAGTAATTGATAATAGTAATCTCTTGGATATTTGCACTGAATATCTGACTTGGTATTATCTATTAATATACCTGAGGTCTACGTATTATTAACGTTAATAACAGTCGTTGTTTGCTGTGGTGCGGTATTTACTGTCAGTAAATAACGCACTCTCTCATTGTGCATTTATTCATCTCTCTGTCAGGCCGTTTCTCTCTCTCTCTCTCTCTCTCTGTCTCTCTCTCTCTGTCTCTGTCTCTCTCTCTCTCTCTCTCTCTCTCTCTCTCTCTCTCTCTCTCTCTCTCTCTCTCTCTCTCTCTCTCTCTCTCTCTCTCTCTCTCTCTCTCTCTCTCTCTCTCTCTCTCTCTCTCTCTCTCTCTCTCTCTCTCTCTCTCTCTCTCTCTCTCTCTTCTTCCTCAATCTTAGCACCATTTCCCTGCTGCCAAAAATTTCCATAATGGTTTTCCAATGCATATAAAAGTCGTCTTAGCGAACAGTGGCTGGCAACGGGGTCCCGCCAGGACTTGTGTTTATGTCCAAATATTCCACAATCTCTACTTTCTCTCACCTGTGTTTGCCGGGAGCGACGGAGGAGAGGGACGTGGAGGGTGAACGGAATGTGTTAGAAATGAGGTGCAAGCGGAGGGTAACGAAGAAATGAAGTAGATAGAAGAATGTGATTGGAGCACGATAAAGGAGAGAAAGATTGAAGATTGTAGGAGAGCGACGGAGGAGAGGGACGTGGAAGGTGAACGGAATGTGTTAGAAATGAGGTGCAAGCGGAGGGTAACGAAGAAATGAAGTAGATAGAAGAATGTGATTGAAGCACGATAAAGGAGAGAAAGATTGAAGATGGTAGGAGAGGGGCGGGACCAGGCGTTGGAAGAAGAGAGGGGAGAGAATCGTAGAGAAGAGGGGAAGAGAGGTGTGAGGACACGGTAAAGAGGAAGCTGAGAGGGAAGAGGAATAAATTGACTCCGTTCTATGTAAAATATTTCCAGGTTGTCGGGTTCACAGGCACTTTATGCAACACTTGAAGGGGACGAAGAGCAGTAAAGGAATGCAACACTACTCTTAAGTGTTATAGTAACATGCACTTAATGTAAGACAAGCACATAGCTGCAATGTGCGTAATGTTAATGAGAGACAATCAATTATTGCATGTATAACAATTTGACGCAACATATAGTGGTGTAATTAAATATAATGTCCTGTATTGACAATGTTGCAAAAGGAGCCTCTTTTATGTAATAAAAGTTAGTATCACATGATCATGAACTTTACATATCATATACATAGTGAGTGACGCTACATAGTGTCACTGTGAAAACACTACATAGACAGTGTTTCAAGAGAAGTCACTTTAATAAATAAAGAGCCCTTTTATGCAACACGAAAGTGGCTTTTGCATAAAGACCTATATTATGAAGCTTAAAGTGGCATTGTGTGCAACATACATAGAAGTGTAGGGAGAAGTGCACTTCGTAGCATACACAGACAGTACTCCTACACGAGCACTTTATGGCAAACACTGAAAGTGTTGCAGGGAGGGCATATGATGGCATACAAAGGAAGTGTTGCAAGAAGTAAGCCGCTCGCTCCGCTGCAAAACATAAATAACTTTTGCGCTATAAACGAGGGAGGGAAATGATGCAGCGGTCTTTGGGGAGGCTGCCACATCGTAAACTGGCCGCCAGTAACTAGCCTCTCCATAAAGGCTATTGCCAGCCATTTATGGAGCTACGTGTGGTGGTGGTGGTGGTGGTGGTATTAGGTGTGGTGTTGTGTTGGTGATGGAGGTGTTGGTGATGTTGTGTTGGTGATTATATATATAAATAATATTGTGTGTTCATTGGCTGTTGATTGCTCATTACGACTTTCTGATGTGTAGAGCCTCGCTGATGTCGAGTCTCCTGTTGTTGTACCTGTTGATAATTTCTGTATTGTTTGTTAAGATTTCTCTGCTGATGGTCTGGTTGTGTGAGGAGATTATATGCTCCTTGATGCTTCATCAAGGAGCATATATTGATATAACATATAACAATGAACATATAACTCAATCAAGGAGCATATAATCTCCTCACACAACCAGACCATCAGCAGAGAAATCTTAACAAACAATACAGAAATTATCGACAGGTATAACGACAACAGGAGACTCGACATCAGCGAGGCACTACACACCAGAAAGTTAACACCAGCAATCAACAGTCAATTAACACATAATTACATTCTACCCACTTCAAGACCCCGAACCAACACGGAAGCAAGAAGATAGAACACGCAATGGTGTACCCATTTTTAGATTGATCCACCTGTTATCTCAATCATGTCCTGTATCACCTCACACACACACACACACACACACACACACACACACAGGGGGGGGGCCTCGTAGCCTGGTAGGGGGCTTCGTAGCCTGGTGGATAGCGCGCAGGATTCGTAATTCTGTGGCGCGGGTTCGATTCCAGCACGAGGCAGAAACAAATGGGCAAAGTTTCTTTCACCCTGAATGCCCCTGTTACCTAGCAGTAAATAGGTACCTGGGAGTTAGTCAGCTGTCACGGGCTGCTTCCTGGGGTGTGTGTGTGTGTGTGTGTGTGGGGTGTGGAAAAAAAAAAAAAGTTAGTAAACAGTTGATTGACAGTTGAGAGGCGGGCCGAAAGAGCAAAGCTCAACCCCCGTAAAAACACAACTAGTAAACACACACACACACACACATATATATATATATATATATATATATATATATATATATATATATATATATATATATATATATATATATATATATATATATATATATATATATATATATATATATATATATATATATATATATATATATATATATATATATATATATATATATCTCACCCAAATCTAAGCTCTCTATCTCCATATTATACTAAGTGCTCGTGCTACTGGAGTTTTATATTTCTTTATAAATACAGAGTTCCAGGAATCTTGACCTAGTACTCAGCACATGGGCATGTTGTCAATTTCACTTTTAAAGTATGCTGTGCTTGTACTAATATCGTTTATATTGTCCAACCCTTGAAAATAATTTGTAAGGAAACCCAGTATATTCAGCTTTCAAAGGTATTTATTGGTGAGCTAAACATTGGTCACACTTCTTTTGTAATTTCACAAAGTTCTTTGTCGTCCTCTATATATATGAACCTTCTTTTGTAATTATTGGTGTAATAATAGTGGAGGTTTATATATTTTTTATTATCACAATACAACATATATGTATAATCACAATACCACATGTATTCATCACAATACCTAATGCATGCACACACATCACATTACTTTATGCATGTATACGTCACAATACCACAGGTATATATACTTGAAATTATCACATGTATATACACATCACAATACTACATGTATATATATACATCGCAATTCCACATACACGCACACATCACATGTATATGTTCATCACGATACTAGGTGTATGTGCTCACCATAATACCTCTACATGTATCACACTATCAGCTGTAGGCCTGTATAGTTGTTTGCTTGTCTCTAATTAAGTGAAGTGGTAAAACTGATCTGGTGTGATCAAAGGTGCTTCAACTATATAAAATAGAAATATCATTACGGAATTTTATGAAATCCGGTTATTTGGTAACATTAATTACCATAGTGATCAAAGCTGATTTTGTGTCTGATAATTAATATTCTCTTTGAAATTCGATAATAGTGTAGAGTAGTCGCTATATAATTGGCAAGGTCGTTTATAGCTGTTAAAGTCATGTAATTACTAATTCTTGAAGTGATACAATGATTACCATTTTTCTAGTTTCGAAGCGAAACATGCGAGAATATTGGCACTATTCAGGAATTTGTGAATTATTAAATTAATGCAATCTCACTGCTCCGATCAACTCTGCTGTGCTGGCAGGTCTGAAACATTTTTGCACAACATTTTTGAATTCTGTCAAGGCACGTTTTTCTTGGTTTTTCTCTGTTTGTCAGTTCTTCCCCTTTATCTCTCTAGCTCTCTCACTGTTTCTTTTTTTTAACTAAAACTACTTTTAATACTAATGACGCTGATGTTTCTGCATTATGATACAAGCTGGGAGCTGTTATCCTACATCAACTCATCAGAAGCCTGGCGCTTCACTGGTTTATTTAATGAGAATGTTATTTTTGTATTATATATAAAAAAAATTCTAAGTTTCAGCTGTAATAATATTATGAAGAGTGAGAAGGTGGTTATCATAAATGTTAGACATGCTAGCATAAAGTTACTCCTCTCTGAGCACCTTGTGACACAGATGCTGTCTGCTGATAGTCCACGATGTTAGTTGACGCGGAGATCCTTGAGAACATTTGACTGTATATAACAGGAAGGATGCCGACATTACTCTGGTGTAGACGGCTCTCATGTACTGACCAATTAAGCCGGGACATATAAAGACATGAGCCTTCTTGCACTGCTCTCCCCCCCCCCCCCGTAGTCCAGATGTCTAATAAGGGATGAGGGAGCAGGCCATTCAGCAGGCTTTGCATACTCAAAATATGAGCCAAATTGAGCTTTAAATAAGTCTTTACACCCACCTCTTTCAAAAGGTACTAGATGCGCCGTAGTGCTAGTGGTTTGGTAGCCGCATTTGCTTACTAGGTTCACCTCGGGAGTCTTAACGTCACTAAAAATTAACTTTATTTTCCAAGACGTCAGCTTCTTCCCCGAGCACTACGGGTTTCCTACATCCGCGTACTTCTCTCTGGTGCATTTCCATAATGCTTCATTTTCTCAGAGGGAATGTTATCTCTCGTCCCCCTAACTCAAAAACATATTGCTGCAAGAGTTATTAA